CTGTGTGTGTGTGTGTGTGTGTGTGTGTGTGTGTGTGTGTGCGCGTGTGTGTGCGTGAGCCTGCAACATCTGCCTGGTGCTGTTTGTTTTGACCTGTGCCACAGCAATCTCTGATTAGCTAAAATACCACATGGAGTCGCAATGGATCCTCCTCTCAAATGCACACTGGCAAACACAGACACAGTCAGACGCACCTGCCGACTGCACCATCATAAACACCTGTGGACCTCACACTGCACCTGCTACTTTCATGGGCTGGGTAGGGACATGAAGGAATGCAGAGAGAGTATGACCTACTTCTGTTTGATTGTGTTAAACAGTGAAATTGTTTTTTTTTTCCTTTTCCAAATTTGCTAATTAGAAGTGAGAGGGAACAGGAAATGTAGTGAAGAAGAGGATGAGGAAATGACACATTGTCCATATGGGCATTTACACTAACCACTAGACCACAGCACCAACCAGACTGCTTTATAAATATGTCAACTTGGTTGAAGCAGCCAAAATGAACTTTCTCTCTCCTTCTTTCTGACATTGTTTATCATTTAATACTTGTAATCTTAACCTCACAGACTCTTATAGGCACCAAGGCTGCATTTATTTGGTCAAAAATGTTAAACACAGCAATGTTGTGAAATATTATTACAGTTTAAAATAACTGTTTTCTATTTTAAAATGCAATTTATTCCTGGCAAAGCTGAATTTTCGGCAGTCATTACTTCAGTCTTCAATGTCACATGATCCTTTAGAAATTATTCTAATATGCTGATTTCATGCTCAAGAAGCTTTTCTTACTATGAATTTTGAAAACATTGAGCTCCATAGGGTTTTAGTAGAAATGTGTAAGCAGCACTTTGGCTCTATCAAAACATTGCTTATGTCATTAACTGCTTTTTTTGTGCTGTTCTCTGAGGTCCACTTATAATGTTATCAAGATTTTTACATAAAAAACATAATTTATAAGTAATAGGCAATTGTCTGTCCTGTTTTTGACCCCCCTCTTAATAACGTTCTGTTTGAATAGTCGTGGTGGATTGTAGACTCAGAAGTAAACACCCACTGCTGTGATTTAGGTTAAAAATGCATAAATACTCAGTACATATGAAACGATCTCTAATAACAGACAAAGCAATAGTGATTACATAATGAAAACATTTAGAAAAATATATATACAACCGAAATATATAACACATACTTATGTATGATATGATATGTGAGTATGATACTCACACTTGTGTGGTACGACATTACTGTCGGATCCAATATAGTCAGCGCAGCATTGTCTTTTAGTTTCAATCTTTCTGAAAATCTTGCGTTGAATTGAGCCTTGTTTGTAAACGAATCCGCTGTAAAATGAAGTGAACAAAGGACCAAGTTCTTACTGATGCGGTCTGGATCTTCATTAAAAATAAAGTTCATCCACTCTTTCCTAACATTGGGATCAGCATTGCAAAGACTGTGTTTTTTCACAACTTGGCACTGCACAGCATTCTGTTGTCTTCAGAGTCATCTTTATCGTTTGGTTTCTGCGTAGACCTGCGTTTGCCTCATGTCATTTACCTACTACATGCGCGAATAGGTGGGCGGGGCTAAACAGGCAGTGATGTGGAAGCAGGCGTTGATCTTCTTCTGCGGAGGCCGTGCTTATCCACACTATTACATCATAGAGTGGTACATTCCACATACTGTCGTTTTGGCATACTGACTTTAATATAAGCTGTTTTTAGATTAATGAGAAAGTTTTGAGTTCTGAAACTTACAAGATGTTTTTATAGCTCAATGACTTCCTATATGTCAAAAGATCAAGGGAATTTTGATTTCTCAGTTCATGACCCCTTTAAGCGAAGTTATTTTGGGCAGTACTGAAGGAACAGGAGTAATCTTGTAATGTTCCTGTGGCTCAGTGGTAGAGCATTGCATTAGCAGCGCAAAGGTCGTGGGTTCAATTCCCAGGGAACACACATACTGATAAAAAAATGTATAGCCTGAATGCACTGTAAGTCGCTTTGGATAAAAGTGTCTGTTAAATGCATTGATTTAATTTAATTTAATTTAATCTGCATTGAGCAAAATTAGTGTCAGCATAATAGAGCTACACTGACATTTGGAGTGCTAAACTTTCTCCTAAAGAGAGGAGGATTCCATCTTCTGTGTTGAAAACACGATGAAACCAGAATTGTCCATAGATTTAATAGAAATACTGTAAAAGTACTGTGCCATATCTTCTGGCCCCTTTAGAGCTCCAGGAGGGTTTCAGAATAGTTCATTTGTCATATCTTGTCTCTATTCTTCATGAGTGGGTGTCAGCATAGACCCCATTCTTCATTGGTGACAGACACAGTGGAGTCCTGCAGATTCTCTTGAAATTCGTTTAAACTCATCCTAGAAACTGATTGCTGGGGCTTGTTCCATTTTTATCTCCTCAGGCCATCATCCATCACTTCAATGGTGCGCAGGCATCACGGCCTTGTAATTTTCTTCCATATTTCATGAGCTCATTTCAAAAAATCTGTTTCAGTCTACAAAATACTAGGAAAAGAAGGGGCTTTTGGAAGCTTCCCATCTCTGTAATGCTCTGGGGTGTTAGGGAGATCTCCATGGTGACGTCTCCATGACAGAGTCCCAGGTGAGGTAACGCCTCAGTCACAGTGGCGCTTACCAGATGCTGCTATGTTGTTGTCCATTAAGGTGTGAGAGGTCTTTCTCCATGCCTTCAGGTCTTCATAGTAGACCTCTGTGCCCCTACCTAGTCTAGCCATTTCACAATATAGCTAGGGAGCTACTTCAGTGGTGTATATTTCCTCGTTTGTAAATCCCTGATGTGTTGTTGTTTTTTTTGGAATCATCAGTTAATAGATGGGAGTTTTTTTCATGATTAAGTGCTTTTAATGGCAGTTAGTACATTCACTGACCATCTGGGTAACACCCCTGGGCAGCTAGTTTCTAGGTTGGTAATAAACATACAAGTACAATACAGTTTCTATCAAACTGAATGTGGAAAGACAGAAATTTACTAAGTGGTTTGCCAAGATTACATTTCAGTAACATTTCAAATCAGGAATACAATTTGACAACAATAGTACAGTATTTCACTTTTTTAGCCAAACTTTATGCTGCTTTGCTCAAATTATGAGCTGTTTGTAAATGTTACATTTCAAGTCAGAAATAAAAGCTAATAACAGTGTATTTAGCACTAGCAAAAATTTTGCAAAAATGTGGCTTCTTTGGCTTAAAGGGTTAGTTCACCCAAAAATGAAAATTCTGTCATTAATTACTCACCCCCATGTTGTTCCAAACCCGTAAGACCTTCGTTCATCTTCGGAACACAATTTAAGATATTGCCTGTGTCACTTTGGACGCGTGTTCACAACAGTATCATGACGCGAGCGTGTGGCGATGCTGACCCAGATCCGGCGTGATGACGTCATTACACTGGATCTGGGTCAGCGTCGCCACACGCTCGCGTCATGATACTGTCGTTTACGGGCATCCACAAGTGACGCAGTAGAGACGAAAATGTGGAATAAAGTCGTTATTTTTGTTTTCTTTGCGCAAAAAAGTATTCTCGTAGCTTCGTAACCTTACAGTTGAACCACTGATGTCACACGGACTACTTTGTCAATCATCTTACGAGGGTGAGTAATTAATGACAGAATTTTCATTTTTGGGTGAACTAACCCTTTAAATCATGTGAAAATGTACTAAGTTACTTAGTTAAATTTCAATACAAGTCAGGAATGTGCTCTAACATCAACTGTATTTGACATTAATATTTAACAAAAATGTGACGTCTTTAGCTTAAATCATGCTAAAAATGTGCTAAGCTATTTGTCAAGGTTACATTTCAAATCAGGAATAAAATCTAACTACACTTGTATTTAGCATTAGTATCCCTGCTGAAAAAAGCAGCTAAAACCAGCCTAAACTGGTTGGCTGGTTTTAGCTGGTTTAAGCTGGAAGTAGCTGCTTTAAGCTGGTCTCCCAGCCTGGCCAAGCTTGTTTTAGCTGGTTGGCTAGTCTCAGCCTCAGACATCATGCTACCACGGACCGCTGGCTGAACATCTGATGCATATGGCATAATGGCACACAAAAAATGGAAACACCTCAGGAGTTTTGAAGTCGTCATTGGATTGGTTGAATTCTACAGTATTTCCGGTAGACGTGTGTGTCGTGTTCGTTAAAGTTCCGCCTGGAAACAAAGATGTCGTGATGCCAAACCCCCTAATTGAAGATCGTGTTTACAACTATGACAGTGAGCGCTTATCGGGATCAAGTAAACGCTGGATTTTCAAAAGTATTTAAAATATGTAAAGTTTGTGCATAGACCCTTTAAAATACGTCCAAGAGTTTTACACACTGGTCTGTTATTGTGGGAACGTTTCCACACCCCTAAACATGACGCGGCACAAAACCAAATGTGATTGGTTGCTTTACCTGTCAGTCATATTGCCTCTTGGGTGGTCCTAGGCCATTCAAAGCGACCAAAGTTCCCAGACCTTCTGGCGTCAGTCTGAAAGTCTGGCAGCGCGAAACTACTGGTTGGCCAGCTGGTCTCCCAGCCTGACCAGCTAAAGAAATTGTCAAAACCAACCTGCTTACCAGCTATGACCAGGCTGGATGACCAGCTAAAACCAGCCAACCAGATTAGGCAGATTTTTGCTGTTTTTAGCAACAATTTGACTTCTTTAGCTCAAATCATGTAAAAAATGTACTACACTGTTTGTGAAGTTGCAGTTCAATAACATTCGAAATCAGAAATAATATAGTTTGTAGTTGTATTTAGCATTAACAAATTAGCATTAGCAAACAGTTGTATTTAGCATTAGCATTTATTTCACTCAAACTTTGCTTCTTTAGCATAAATCTTGCAAAACATTCATAGCTATAGTGTCTTATTAAAGCAAACTGAGGCATCTCAAGGTTTCGTTGTTCTTGTGTTGCTCCTTTTGGCTTGTCATTATCGAGTGTCCTGAGTCCCTTGTGCTTTCCTCCCCCACAGGTCAGGAGTCGGAGTGACCGGATCGAAGCAGACCATGTTCTACGCTGAGGTGTCCGATGAGAATCGCGTTGGAGAGGGAGGAGGTAAACCCCAAGAGGGCGAATTGATCGAGGTGGTCAAAGTTCCCCTTAATGAAGCCATGACCTTCGCCTTCGACGAGAGCATCCCGAAAACGATGGGCGTTATTTTCAGCTTCATCTGGTTCCACAGCAACATGTCGCCGAAGTACAAGATCTCCACCAACGTGTAACATAACGGTTCCACGCCATCGAGAAATACAAGTCATTGCGTACATTTTTATATGTAGTAATCAAAATGGTCACTAACTGTTAATTATTTTGCTATTTCTTACACTTTTATCTGTTTGTTGTGGTTCTAGCTATTGTCTTATTTCAGATTGAAGCCACACTTGTGTGCCATCCGCTGAAAAGGTTCATTGTGAGTTTGTTTTGTGTAGCTGAATGCTTTGTTTTTAACATGCCAGGAATTTCAGCCAGCCATTTGAAATCACACCACGGCCCTTAAAGACTTTGTAATGGTGATCTATTCCACTCTAATTTGAGAGGGTAAGATCTGAAAGACTGTGTTGATACCATCAGAGAGAAAATCACAAACCGGATCGATCATGATTGAAGCTGTACTTTGTGGTCAGAAAGTGAGACCTCTAGCCATATTCCCACCAATTTTGCAGGCTATTTAGTAGAATGACATTCATTTTTAAATATAAATAAGCAAGTAAATAAAAACAATAATTAATGTGAATTATGTGAACAACACACAGGCAGCTACACAAATGAGATAACTTGAGAGCCACTTCTTATAAAACAATCATTGTCAAATAAAAACAATTACACTCTTGCATATATCTCAGGTCCAAAGCTGACTTTGGGACATTCAGGGTTAGTGGTGATGCTGAAAAATGCTGAGATGTTTTTTATTGCCGCTTAAAATTAAGTTGATATTCTGAGTGCGTGTTTTGCACAGAATTTATTTATAAAATATCTACTACAATAACCTAAAGTGTGAGTACAGTGCTAGTGCTACAGGTTTAAAGCTGCTTTGCCATAATCATCATATCTATAACACTGTTCTGAATTCTTTCAGAACTTATGGAACAGAATATATGAGAGGTGCATGAGCTTGCCTGCTGAAGCTAAAAAAATTTTTTAGAAATTAATATTTTCAAATACCATACAGTGTCAGAAGACTGGTACCTCCTAAAGTCACAGCAACAAAACATAGTGACTTTCTGAAATCCCTTGAATACGATACTTGAAAATCATTTGTTGCAGTTTACGGTATGAATATATAGGGTGATGAATATAATCAATATGCCCTCAATTTTCTCCATGATACCTCCAAGATTTGAGAGGCTGCTTGCAACTTTTTATTAAGGTGAGCTGAAGCTTTCTGAATCAGATTTTCGCTTTTTTGTGGTTCAGTTCAGATTCTCTTGTGCACAAAGCATTCACTACTTTTATTTCAATCGATCAATTAATCAGTCGACCGTTTTTCCTATATCTTGTTGGCTTAATTATTTTGTGAATGATATTGAAGTGCACAAACATTTGTTAATACTATCTTTGTACTTGGCATCATGACAACGATCACTACAGTGTTGAATACTATTGTCAGCTGATTGGATCTTACTGTAAAGCATTTTCCTTTGTCCTATCACTGTACTCTGTAGTCTATATTCTATTGTGATTGAGTGTTATAACTTTATCAATACATACGGTCAATGTGCAAATGTACAAATTACCATGTTCATATAATCAGTCAAAACAAGTGTGGAAAAAGACAAACAGGTTTGGTTTGGTCCACAATAGGAGTGTTTTTAACTTCAACCGCTCCTTTTAAAGTATGCAAATGAGACATTTAAGAATTATGCATTTGTTTTGGAAGCATTATTTCATATCACAATGCCTCAGATATCATTTCCTCATTTTCTTAATCTCTTCTTATGAAAGAAACTTTGAACTTGTTGGAGTGTTTTGTACGTTTATCTCAGGATAGGGCTTGATTTCTTTTAAAAATTAATAAATTGTTGATTTATTGTCATGTGCCACTGTTATTAATGCTTGAGTTTCAGACTCAGTATTTCAAGAGAGGTGTTCACTACTGCATTTACATTTCTTCTTTTGAATCTCACAACATTTGTTTACTGATTGTTTTCATTTATGGCACCTCAAACAGATATATATATTTCAAATATATATATATATATATATATATATA